AAAAAAAAAAAAAAAAAAGATGAGGTCTTGCTCTATCACCCTGGCTAGAGTGTAGTAGTGCAACACAGCTCACTGCACCCTCAAACTCCTGGGCTCAAGTGATGTTCCCACCTCAGCCTCTTAAGTAGCTAGGAACACAGGCACATACCAATAGGCTGGCTAGTTATTTTAAAAATTATTTTTTGTAGAGGTGGGGTCTTGCTATGTTGCCCAGACTGGTCTCAGACTCCTGGGCTCAAGCAATCCTTTTACCTCAGTCTCTCAAAGTGCTGGGATTACAAGCATGACTCACCACACTCAGCCCAGTTACAGATCTTTTGATGTCCTTCCATGTTCTCATTCCCAATAAATGAATGAAAAATATTTGAATTTGGCCAGGCGCCGTGGCTCATGCCTATAATCCCAGCACTTTGGGAGGCTGAGGCAGGTGGATCACAAAGCCAAAAGATCAAGACCACCACCCTGGCCAACATGGTGAAACCTTGTCTCTACTAAAAATATAAAAATTAGCTGGGCATGGTGGCACATGCCTGTAATCTCAGCTACTTGGGAGGCTGAGGCAGGAGAATTGCTTGAACCTGGGAGGTAGAGGTTGAGTGAGCCGAGATGGCGCCACTGCATTATAGCCTGGCGACAGAGCAAGATTCCATCTCAAAAAAAAAAATTTTTTTTGGCTTCAATCATTATGCTAAGTGAACGGTAAAAATGCTTCCATGTCTCCATCCCTCCTTTTTGTTTTCTTTTTTTTTTTCAAGATGGAATCTCATTCTGTCGCCCTGGCTGGGGTGCAATGGCCCGATCTCAGCTCACTGCAACCTCTGCCTCCTGGGTTCAAGCAATTCTCCCGCTTCAGCCTCACGATTAGCTGGGATTACAGGCACACACCACCATGCTCAGCTAATTTTTGTATTTTTAGTAGAGATGGGGTTTCACCATGCTGGTCAGGCTGGTCTTGAATTCCTGACTTCGTGATCTGCCTGCCTTGGCCTTCCAAAGTGCTGGGATTGCAGGCATGAGCCACCATACCTGGCCCATCCCTTCTTTTCTTTTTTTTTTTTATTATTATATATTTTTTTAATTATT